CCCCCCGGCTCTCCTTCCCCCGTCTACCCCGTACGAAGAAGTCACCGTCGTGACACGGCAATTAACCAACTGACCAACCACCTGACTATTTTTATTTTTATTTTTATTTAAATTAAATTTCATCCTTTCATTTTAAATAAAAAATGCCAGACAACCAAAACTGAGAATCGGAACGTAACAGAGTCCACTCGACCGAATGTTGATTTTAATTTTAATTTTAATGATTTTAATCACAACTAACTGGGGTTAAGGTGGATTATCTCTTACAGTGGTATTACTGTATATTATCGGTGAGGGGAAGTTTGCATACGGACTGTGGGTCTCGCCACACCGCTGTCGAAACGAAAAAAGAACGGGAAAAAAAAAAAAAAAAGAAGAAGAGGAAGACGAAGAAGAAGAAGCCGATCCGTGTTTCTATGAGCAGCAATGGATGCATCTTACCACTTTCTGCGGAAGATGCATTCATTCTCTTTTCGTTTCGACAGTGGTGTGGCGAGGCCCTGTTAGGGTTCAGCCTTTATCTCGATGAGTCAGACGACGAAACGTCGAAGAAACAGTCTGTCTGTCACAGCCCCTCGTTTGTTCTGCGCTTCTCCCGCTCGGCCTACGTTTTTTTTAATAATAATAATTATTTATTTTTTTTTTAACGAGAAAAGACTGAACATTTTGTTTATTATCCCCCCCCCCGCCCCCCCCCCCAAAAAAAAAGGGAGGCTTTAATTTCTCAACAATCAATCCGGAAAAGTATTAATCTGGGACCATTACCCAGCTTAGGTGCAGGCTTTGGGGTTAAAGTCCAGGTGCAGAATGGCGAAAACCGGGTCGATGCCCTGACGACCTACCTTAACCCTGTCTGCCTACGATTTACCGGGCAGCTGTCTCTGACGATATATATGTATATAAATAAACCGACTTAAAAAAAAAAAAACTTCCATATTTACCGTCCGGGAACCGGGTCCGGCGTCCCCCTTGTAGAAAAGAGGTTCATGCGGGCCCACGAACCGATTTATTTTTACGTATCATTAAGGGAAAAAAGCAGTCGATGAACGACGAAACGAATAATAGATGATCAAGCGATTTAATTATTATTATTATTATTATTATTTTTTTTTTTCGCCGCTGCCCTAGACGATCAATTAATCAACATAAAAGAGAAAGGGGAGGGGGGGGGGAGGGAGGGAAAAAAAAAGGCATTCAATCAGTGACATCACATCCATACACGACACTACCGTCTTCCTCCGAACACAACGCACCCCATTTTGCCTGTATCGGGCCGGAAACATACCTTGTATACGTTCATTTTCAGGGTGCGTTATGTTCGGGGGAAGACAGTAGTCCACGTGGACGACTGCCGAAAGAACGATCGGCGAAGCAAGTAAGCTTTTTTTTTTTTTTCTTTTTTTTTCTTGTTGGAAGCCAATGAAGCAATTAATCGGACTTTTTTTTTGTGTGTGTGTAATCCGACCCTCACTCCTGCCGATCACTAAGTAGGTCAATGCCGTCTGATCAGGTCACGTGGATGGCTAGATCACTCCAAGCGAGGCGACGTGGATGGCAACTCACTTCAAGCGAGATCACGTTCCTTCCCCTCGTTATCTGTTGACGTCATCGTCGGTGATTAGGCTGTCCTTCTGAACGGAGGCACTGCTAAAAAAAACGATAGCTCATCGCGATCGGGATCGCTTATCGCGATTAGAATCGCCCGATGAACCGATCCACTGTTGTCGTCGCCGGATCGATGTCCATCGATGCTGACGTCAACGCGATTTACGTTTTCGCCCACATAAATCTGTGTCCGTTACTTCTCGGGAAAACACTGTTGAAATACGGACCCAAGTCCGAATCCAGATTAAAAAAAAAAAAAAAAAAGTTCGAATCCAGATGCAATCAGATGAATAGAATGAAAAAAAAAAATCTGCATTGCCTGGGGCCGGTCAGTGTACTGAGGAAATTCTCAGCCAGCCGCAAGGGTCGCTCACAATGTTTTATCCAGTTGGCATTATTACGTCTTCGATGCCTGATAAGAAGGAAAAAAAAAGAAAMARAAAAGAAGAAAAAAAAAGATTTACTGTAAAAAAAAAAAAACAGATATATGCTGTGGGATGAGCGCACTCTTTTTCATTTTTTTTTCATTTTTTTTCTTTTTCTTTTTTTTTACTGCGGACCTTCGTGGTACCACGCTAGGTCCAAGGGAACGCGTCAGTTGGCACATTCTTGAATTTTTGGATCTGTTGAAATGCAGACCTGTGTTCGAACCCCACTGGAAGCGGACGAGTAAATATGAAAGTGTTAAAAAGTTTTTTTTTTTGTTTTGTTTATTTATTTATATACATATATATATCGTCAGCCGTCCTGACTCCCTGCTGTGACAAGGTTGCGTTCCTGAATCGTCTCCGCCCTATAGATCGGCGGCGGGGCTGCTACCATCTCCATCGCCGTCAGCCTTATGATAGTTGTCCTATCTGCCGTGAGAGGGTCTTACTCAGACGTACCTTGCACCTTAACCAAAAGGTGCAGGTGCGCTCAAAAGAGTGCACAAAAGTGGGAGACCCTTCACTAAAACTGTAAGACAGAAGCATGGAGTAAACGACAGAAGAGAAGACCTTTGAGTCATTTTACTTTTTTTTTTTTTTTTTTTTTTTGATAGTCATTTTTACTTTTGTTCCCTGCATCCGCTAACACCACCCTCAAAGAAAACGTCAAAAGGGTGTAATGAAAATGAGAATAAAAACTTAAAAAGGTGAAGAAGGAAAGTGCAGGTGCGCTGAAAAGCGAACGTGGTAGACCCTTCACCACAACGGCGAAACGCAAAACTGTGAACGAAAGAAGAATACAGTAAAATAAAAGAAAAGAATAAGTTGTGTGACCTTTCCGTCGCCTATCGGTTTTGCGTTTCTGCCCCTCTCTTCCTTGTTGTGTTTAACACCTCTCTCCCTGTACTCTGCCTCTTTTGCCACAGCGTGCAAGTGGGGGCTGTTATGGCATACGGCGGGGATTGGGGGGGGCGCCAGCTCGCGCTCAACTTCATTCATTGTTCAGTGGCGGGCCTTGTACGTGAGTGGAGGAGTTAAGAAGACTGAGAAATTGAATGATTTCAATGTGTCTTTGTTTTTTTTTAATTTTTATCCGTTGTTCAGTGTAAAAAAATGATAAAACACTGAAAGAAATGAGAATACACTAAAACAAACAAAGAAGAAGAAGACGACGCTGTTTTCTGCCTTTCTGGTTTGTCTGTCTCTTTGCCTTTCTGTCCTTTCATTTTTTTCTTTTCTTCGCTCATCTGATTTCTTCTTCTACTTCACGTGTTTCCACTCTTAGGGCATACTCACACCAGGCATTCAAAATCTTTGAATCGCAAGATCAACGGCCAGATCAAGTCCTTCCAAAAGGAGGACTCAATCTGGCCGTTCATTTTGCGAGTCTGCCATTTTGAGGGCCTAGTGTGAGTTATACCCTTAGTTAATAGTTCCGTGACTATATACTCTTGTGACAATATATCTATCGTCAGACAGTCGTAGGTTCGGACGGCTAACGCAATTTGTGTTATTTTAAATAACCAATGATTATCATAATTAAATTGAAAAAAAATGTTGAGGCCGGCGGGGGGGGGGTCTGAGAGCATATCTCAGCTACTCAGCTTCGCTTCCGGCTCCTCGGCTCCTGCTGAACCGGATAGCGACTTGCATTTTTTAAGATATTTTTACCAAATTCGAATTAAAAAACACAGAGTCTAAAACAGAGAGAGGGCCTCGCTCGTCTGCTCTCGACATAGCAGGAAAGACAAAAATCGTAGCGGGTGTATCTTGCCATGTTCTAGCGGAAGATTCACTCTCGTTTCGCACATTTCGAGAGTAGTGGAGCGAAGCACCCCATGGTTACCCGACGTTCTATCCGTCTATCAACCTATACATAGTGATGATGATATCTCTTTTTTTTTTTTTTTTTTTTTTTTTTGGGAATTTTTCTTTTCTTGCTCGGGAGATGATGATGGTGATCTCTCGCCCTAGGGAAGAGCGAATTGTATTTCGAGTTAAAGAAAAATAAAAAATGGCGAGTAAGTGCATTCATTCCCCTTTGGCAAAGAACGTGGTGGGGCGAGCCAGATACATCCGCCACGGATGTATCTTGGCCGCCACCGCCACCTATGTGACAGGAGGGTGCACACTTACTCGGGCATCATTCTTTGTCGCTTACGCTTTGCCGCCCAGTGCATGTTTTTTCCATGTAATGCGTCTAGGTACGTCATCCCCCGCCGCCATTGTTCATATTGGCGGTGGCGATGGCGGCGATGACGGTGATGGCGGCGATGACGGCGATGGCGGCGATGGTGGATGCATCGTGCTTGCCACCGCTGTCTATGAGAAAGAAAGAAAGAGGATGTGCACTCGCTCTCCACTCTTCGCCGCTTTTTCCTGGATTAGTTAGTTCGGCGAAAAAAAAGAAAAAACACTTTCGGCGACCATGTTGCTGCCTTTTCCTGGACCAGCGGAACCACGGACAGTGCCAGTGGGACCTCTCTTTTCTTGCGAAAGTCAAACAGCGGTCCCACTGGTCCCACCTCCCTCTCTCTCTCTCTCCCTCTCTCTCTTTTACGACAGTGGTACCGCCTCTCTCTCTCTCTCTCTCTCTCTCTTTTTTGGAAGTGCAGTCCCAATGGTTCCCTTGTCTTGCAAGTGTCTCCGCTTCTCTCTCTCTCTCGCTCACTCTCTCTCTCTCTCTCTCTCTTGCAATGGACCCCTTGTCGTGCAAGTGTCTCCGCTTCTCTCTCTCTCTCTCTCTCTCTCTCTCTCTCTCTCTCTCCGTTTCTCTTTCTTTCAGGAGTGATCGCACTAATCTCGCTTCTCTTGCGAGAGCAGTTCCGCCGCGCTCTCTCTTGCAATAGTCGTACCGTCTTTCTGTCTGTCTGTCTGTTTCTCTGCCTGTCTCTCTCTCTCCCTCTCTTGTGCTGGAGTGGTCCCACTGGTTCCACCTGTGATGCAAGAGTGGTGCCGCCTCTTCTCTCTCTGTGCGGTGGTGGTCCTGCGTCTCTCTCTCTCTCTGTGTGAAGAGTGGTCATGCCTGTCCCTCTGGCTGCTTTCAGTGCCCTCTTTCACTTTCCATCAAGTGGTGCAAGTGGAGTGGCTCCGCCTCTCTCGCTATGTAGAGGGCAGCAAGAGTGTGCCTGTGTGCCCAGTGCGCTTGTAGTTGTTTACCAAACCGATCACAAGTTGGAATCCTGGTTGAAGCACACCAATACATTTTAATATTAGGGGCTGCTCCCTAATATTAGGGGATACAAGAAAAACAAACAAACAAAAGTGATTGTGCGCCTTCTTCTTTAACCTCAACATTGAGTGGTGCAAGTTTGCTGGTGCGAGTATTTCCCTGAGGCGACGAACGAATTGACGTAGTAGCGTAACGTTTGACGTCGGTTATGAAATCCCCTCCTCTCTCACTCGCCCTTCCTTGGACTGACAATTTTGCTATGGGGTTTTTGTTGCATGCAGGGTCCGAAGATCAAGGTCGACGAAGAAGAAGCAAGAAGAGGAAAGAGAACGGCAAAGGCGGTGCAAGGAGCGATGGCGGATATGGAGAGAAAGAGGAGAAGAGGAAACGGAGAAAGAAGAGAAAGGGAGAGAAACACAAGAAAGGGAGAGTGAGAGAGAGCGAAAGGAGTGACAGCGATGGTGGCGGGGCAAGGAGCAGGAAGGGTTCGAGGAAGGAGGCTAAAGAGCGTAAGTGGGCAAACGGAGCTATATAATCTAATGGGACATATCAGTACCTGCGTTTTTACTCTCCTCTTTTTTTTTTTTTTTTTAAATTCTGGTAGCATGAATTTACCCCCTTTTTTTTTCCTTCTTTGTATCCTTCATTGAATTCTGCTGAATATTGCATGTTTTGGATTTTTAGTATTTTTTTTGGTTATTTATTAGCAAAAAAAAAAGAAAAGCTTTTGTTGAGCAGAGTTGTTAGGTGGGGGACATGGATCTCTCTTGAATTTATTATTATTGTCTGGATCGATCTTGAATCTTTATCCATATGAATGTGGAATCCCTTTTTCTCTGTTTGATTTAGAAAAAAAGCTTATTTACTATTTAGTATTTAGTTATAGCACTAAATAGTACTAAGGTAATTAAATTATCGCGGTGGGGAGGGGAGTAGGGATCTCAATCAATATGCGGAGAAAGGGGAAGGTTTGTTGGCGGGGGAAAGAGGGAGGGAGCAGGGGAAAGGTACTATCGTCTTCACCCGAATAGAACGCGTGGTCATTATAGCTGTATCTGGACTGCAAATTGCACCAAATACAGCTATAATGACCGGGCGTCCGGGTGTCCTCTTCGGATGGAGACGGTAGGTAGGGGAGAAAAAGAGGGGTGGAAGGGAAAACCCGGGGGGGGGGGGGGGGGGGGGGAAGGGAGGTTCGTGGGGAGAAGAGGGGAGAGGGAAAGTGGGGCAGGGCGAACGGGGTGGCAAAATGGGTGGGCGAGAAGGGGAGGGGGGGAGACGTAGAGAAAGGTCGGTGGGGGGGAGAGGGAGGCATTCATCAGACTTGATGTCTTAAAGTCCCTTTATTTTCTCGTCTCGGCAAGGTAAGTGTATGTTAAATGTACCCTCCCCTTGCATTTCCTTCGCGTGCACCCCCCTCCCCCCCGGCCCCCACCACCCAAAAAACGGTTTTTCTAAGTAAGAAGGAATTTATTTGTTTTTGAACGTGTCAGTGAAGCAATTAATGGTTATGTGCTTGGACCAGGTTGTGATCTTGCTTTTTCCTTGTTTGTTTGTTTGTTTTTTAATTTCCCCCTTTTATTGTTTTTTATTTTTCACAGGAAATGGAGAGAAACGGAGCACTGGACTACGAGAAAGATCCTCCGCGGACAAGGAGTCCCTTGGGACCGCCCTGGAACCAAGGAAGGTACGGATTGTGGAATGGGATTGGGACCCTTATTTGGTATCGGGATCATCCTTGGGAGCGAGTGCTTCTACTATCGTCTTTGGATCATCCTCCGAATAGAGAACGGGATCGGGATTGCAACTGTGGTGCTCGACCTGGATTTCCAGATCTATGGGCCCCGCGTTTAAATCGGAGGAAGGGGGCCGTAAGTGGGCTGCATCAAAGCGTTTAGTAGGTGTTTGTTGTCGATCCGTCAATCCTATTTATAATTATATCATTTAGAAACTCAAGGACACCCGTTAATTTTCTTTCTGGTCGTCTCCATTTATTTAATTCTTATTCAAATAGATTAGATACTGGCTACCAGAGTGGCCCGGGTCCAATTGCCCGGCCGGGCCAAAAA